AGGAGGAGATGGAGGAGGTGATGGAGGAGGTGATGAGGAGGAGGTGATGGAGGAGGTGTGATGGAGGAGGTGATGAGGAGGTGATGGAGGAGGTGATGGGGGAGGTGATGGGGGAGGGTGATGAGGAGGAGATGGAGGAGGTGATGGAGGAGGTGATGAGGAGGTGATGGAGGAGGTGATGGAGGAGGTGATGAGGAGGAGATGGAGGAGGTGAGGGAGGAGGTGATGGAGGAGGTGATGAGGAGGTGATGGAGGAGGTGATGGAGGAGGTGATGGAGGAGGAGATGGAGGAGGTGATGGAGGAGGTGATGAGGAGGTGATGGAGGAGGTGATGGAGGAGGTGATGGAGGAGGTGATGAGGAGGAGATGGAGGAGGTGATGAGGAGGTGATGGAGGAGGTGATGGAGGAGGTGATGGAGGAGGTGATGAGGAGGAGATGGAGGAGGTGATGAGGAGGTGATGGAGGAGGTGATGGAGGAGGTGATGAGGAGGAGGTGATGGAGGAGGTGATGGAGGAGGTGATGAGGAGGTGATGGAGGATGTGATGGAGGAGGTGATGGAGGAGGTGACGGAGGAGGTGATGGAGGAGGTGATGGAGGAGGTGATGGAGGAGGTGATGGGGGAGGTGATGAGGAGGAGATGGAGGAGGTGATGGAGGAGGTGATGAGGAGGTGATGGAGGAGGTGATGAGGAGGAGATGGAGGAGGTGATGAGGAGGTGATGGAGGAGGTGATGAGGAGGTGATGGAGGAGGTGATGGAGGAGGTGATGGGGGAGGTGATGGGGAGGTGATGAGGAGGAGATGGAGGAGGTGATGGAGGAGGTGATGAGGAGGTGATGGAGGAGGTGATGAGGAGGAGATGGAGGAGGTGAGGGAGGAGGTGATGGAGGAGGTGATGAGGAGGTGATGGAGGAGGTGATGGAGGAGGTGATGGAGGAGGAGATGGAGGAGGTGATGGAGGAGGTGTGATGAGAGGAGGTGATGGAGGAGGTGATGGAGGAGGTGATGAGGAGGAGATGGAGGAGGTGATGAGGAGGTGATGGAGGAGGTGATGGAGGAGGTGATGGAGGAGGTAATGAGGAGGAGATGGAGGAGGTGATGAGGAGGTGATGGAGGAGGTGATGGAGGAGGTGATGAGGAGGTGATGGAGGAGGTGAAGGGGGAGGTGATGGAGGAGGTGATGGAGGAGGTGATGAGGAGGAGATGGAGGAGGTGATGGAGGAGGTGATGGAGGAGGTGATGAGGAGGAGATGGAGGAGGTGATGGAGGAGGTGAAGGAGGAGGTGATGGAGGAGGTGATGAGGAGGTGATGGAGGAGGTGATGAGGAGGTGATGGAGGAGGTGATGGAGGAGGTGATGGAGGAGGTGATGAGGAGGTGATGGAGGAGGTGATGGAGGAGGTGATGAAGGAGGTGATGAGGAGGTGATGGAGGAGGTGATGGAGGAGGTGATGAGGAGGTGATGGAGGAGGTGATGGGGGAGGTGATGGAGGAGGTGATGAGGAGGTGATGGAGGAGGTGATGAGGAGGTGATGGAGGAGGTGATGGAGGAGGTGATGAGGAGGTGATGGAGGAGGTGATGGAGGAGGTGATGGAGGAGGAGATGGAGGAGGTGATGGAGGAGGTGATGGAGGAGGTGATGAGGAGGTGATGGAGGAGGTGATGGAGGAAGTGATGGAGGAGGTGATGAGGAGGAGATGGAGGAGGTGATGAGGAGGTGATGGAGGAGGTGATGGAGGAGGTGATGGAGGAGGTGATGAGGAGGTGATGGAGGAGGTGAAGGAGGGGGTGATGGAGGAGGGTGATGGAGGAGGTGATGAGGAGGAGATGGAGGAGGTGATGGAGGAGGTGATGAGGAGGAGATGGAGGAGGTGATGGAGGAGGTGAAGGAGGAGGTGATGGAGGAGGTGATGAGGAGGTGATGGAGGAGGTGATGAGGAGGTGATGGAGGAGGTGATGGAGGAGGTGATGGAGGAGGTGATGAGGAGGTGATGGAGGAGGTGATGGAGGAGGTGATGGAGGAGGAGATGGAGGAGGTGATGAGGAGGTGATGGAGGAGGTGATGGAGGAGGTGATGAGGAGGTGATGGAGGAGGTGATGGAGGAGGTGATGAGGAGGAGATGGAGGAGGTGATGGAGGAGGTGATGGAGGAGGTGATGGAGGAGGTGATGAGGAGGAGATGGAGGAGGTGATGGAGGAGGTGATGAGGAGGTGATGGAGGAGGTGATGGAGGAGGTGATGAGGAGGTGATGGAGGAGGTGATGGAGGAGGTGATGGAGGAGGTGATGGAGGAGGTGATGGAGGAGGTGATGGAGGAGGTGATGGAGGAGGGGATGGGGGAGGTGATGAGGAGGTGATGGAGGAGGGTGATGGAGGAGGTGATGATGAGGTGATGGAGGAGGTGATGAGGAGGAGATGGAGGAGGTGATGGAGGAGGTGATGGAGGAGGTGATGAGGAGGTGATGGAGGAGGTGATGGAGGAGGTGATGGAGGAGGTGATGGAGGAGGTGATGGAGGAGGTGATGGAGGAGGTGATGGGGGAGGTGATGGAGGAGGTGATGAGGAGGAGATGGAGGAGGTGATGGAGGAGGTGATGAGGAGGTGATGAGGAGGAGATGGAGGAGGTGATGGAGGAGGTGATGAGGAGGTGATGGAGGAGGTGATGGAGGAGGAGATGGAGGAGGTGATGGAGGAGGTGATGAGGAGGTGATGGAGGAGGTGATGAGGAGGAGATGGAGGAGGTGATGAGGAGGTGATGGAGGAGGTGATGGAGGAGGTGATGGAGGAGGTGAAGGAGGAGGTGATGGAGGAGGTGATGGAGGAGGTGATGGAGGAGGTGATGAGGAGGTGATGGAGGAGGTGATGGAGGAGGTGAAGGAGGAGGTGATGGAGGAGGTGATGAGGAGGTGATGGAGGAGGTGATGAGGAGGTGATGGAGGAGGTGATGGAGGAGGTGATGGAGGAGGTGATGAGGAGGTGATGGAGGAGGTGATGGAGGAGGTGATGGAGGAGGAGATGGAGGAGGTGATGAGGAGGTGATGGAGGAGGTGATGAGGAGGTGATGGAGGAGGTGATGGAGGAGGTGATGAGGAGGTGATGGAGGAGGTGATGAGGAGGTGATGGAGGAGGTGATGGAGGAGGTGATGAGGAGGTGATGGAGGAGGTGATGGAGGAGGTGATGGAGGAGGAGATGGAGGAGGTGATGAGGAGGTGATGGAGGAGGTGATGGAGGAGGTGATGGAGGAGGTGATGAGGAGGTGATGGAGGAGGTGATGGAGGAGGTGATGGAGGAGGTGATGAGGAGGAGATGGAGGAGGTGATGGAGGAGGTGATGGAGGAGGTGATGAGGAGGTGATGGAGGAGGTGATGAGGAGGAGATGGAGGAGGTGATGGAGGAGGTGATGAGGAGGTGATGGAGGAGGTGATGAGGAGGTGATGGAGGAGGTGATGGAGGTGATGGAGGAGGTGATGAGGAGGTGATGGAGGAGGTGATGGAGGAGGTGATGGAGGAGGTGATGGGGGAGGTGATGAGGAGGTGATGGAGGAGGTGATGGAGGAGGTGATGAGGAGGTGATGGAGGGGGATGGGAGGTGATGAGAGGAGGATGGAGGAGGTGATGGAGGAGGTGATGGAGGAGGTGATGAGGAGGTGATGGAGGAGGTGATGGAGGAGGTGATGGAGGAGGTGATGGAGGAGGTGATGGAGGAGGTGATGGAGGAGGTGATGGGGGAGGTGATGGAGGAGGTGATGAGGAGGTGATGGAGGAGGTGATGGAGGAGGTGATGAGGAGGTGATGAGGAGGAGATGGAGGAGGTGATGGAGGAGGTGATGAGGAGGTGATGGAGGAGGTGATGGAGGAGGTGATGGAGGAGTGGTGATGAGGAGGTGATGGAGGAGGTGATGAGGAGGGATGGAGGAGGTGATGGAGGAGGTGATGGAGGAGGTGATGGAGGAGGTGAGGAGGAGGTGATGGAGGAGGGTGATGGAGGAGGTGATGGAGGAGGTGATGGAGGAGGTGATGAGGAGGTGATGGAGGAGGTGATGGAGGAGGTGAGGAGGAGGAGGAGGTGATGGAGGAGGTGATGAGGAGGTGATGGAGGAGGTGATGAGGAGGTGATGGAGGAGGTGATGGAGGAGGTGATGGAGGAGGTGATGAGGAGGTGATGGAGGAGGTGATGGAGGAGGTGATGGATGGAGGAGATGGAGGAGGTGATGAGGAGGTGATGGAGGAGGTGATGAGGAGGTGATGGAGGAGGTGATGATGGAGGAGGTGATGGGGGAGGTGATGGAGGAGGTGATGAGGAGGAGATGGAGGAGGTGATGGAGGAGGGTAATGGAGGAGGTGATGAGGAGGTGATGGAGGAGGTGATGAGGAGGAGATGGAGGAGGTGATGGAGGAGGTGATGGAGGAGGTGATGAGGAGGTGATGGAGGAGGTGATGGAGGAGGTGATGAGGAGGAGGTGATGGAGGAGGTGATGGAGGTGATTGAGGAGGTGATGAGGAGGTGATGGAGGAGGTGAAGGAGGAGGTGATGGAGGAGGTGATGAGGAGGAGATGGAGGAGGTGATGGAGGAGGTGATGAGGAGGAGATGGAGGAGGTGATGGAGGAGGTGATGGAGGAGGTGATGAGGAGGTGATGGAGGAGGTGATGGAGGAGGTGATGGAGGAGGTGATGAGGAGCTGATGGAGGAGGTGATGGAGGAGGTGATGAGGAGGTGATGGAGGAGGTGATGGAGGAGGAGATGGAGGAGGTGATGAGGAGGTGATGGAGGAGGTGATGGAGGAGGTGATGAGGAGCTGATGGAGGAGGTGATGGAGGAGGTGAAGGAGGAGGTGATGAGGAGGGTGATGGAGGTGAAGGAGGAGGTGATGGAGGAGGTGATGAGGAGGTGACTGAGGAGGTGATGAGGAGGTGATGGAGGAGGTGAAGGAGGAGGTGATGAGGAGGTGATGGAGGAGGTGAAGGAGGAGGTGATGGAGGAGGTGATGAGGAGGTGATGGAGGAGGTGATGGAGGAGATGATGGAGGAGGTGATGGAGGAGGTAATGAGGAGCTGATGGAGGAGGTGATGGAGGAGGTGATGGAGGAGGTGATGAGGAGGTGATGGAGGAGGTGATGAGGAGGTGATGGAGGAGGTGATGAGGAGGTGATGGAGGAGGTGATGGAGGAGGTGATGAGGAGCTGATGGAGGAGGTGATGAGGAGGTGATGGAGGAGGTGATGAGGAGGTGATGGAGGAGGTGATGAGGAAGTGATGGAGGAGGTGATGAGGAGGTGATGGAGGAGGTGATGAGGAGGTGATGGAGGAGGTGATGGAGGAGGTGATGGAGGAGGAGATGGAGGAGGTGATGGAGGAGGTGATGAGGAGGTGATGGAGGAGGTGATGAGGAGGAGATGGAGGAGGTGATGAGGAGGTGATGGAGGAGGTGATGGAGGAGGTGATGGAGGAGGTGAAGGAGGAGGTGATGGAGGAGGTGATGGAGGAGGTGATGGAGGAGGTGATGAGGAGGAGATGGAGGAGGTGATGGAGGAGGTGAAGGAGGAGGTGATGGAGGAGGTGATGAGGAGGTGATGGAGGAGGTGATGAGGAGGTGTCGGAGGAGGTGATGGAGGAGGTGATGGAGGAGGTGATGAGGAGGTGATGGAGGAGGTGATGGAGGAGGTGATGGAGGAGGAGATGGAGGAGGTGATGAGGAGGTGATGGAGGAGGTGATGAGGAGGTGATGGAGGAGGTGATGGAGGAGGTGATGGGGGAGGTGATGGAGGAGGTGATGAGGAGGAGATGGAGGAGGTGATGGAGGAGGTAATGGAGGAGGTGATGAGGAGGTGATGGAGGAGGTGATGAGGAGGTGATGGAGGAGGTGATGAGGAGGAGATGGAGGAGGTGATGGAGGAGGTGATGAGGAGGTGATGGAGGAGGTGATGGAGGAGGTGATGGAGGAGGAGGTGATGGAGGAGGTGATGGAGGTGATTGAGGAGGTGATGAGGAGGTGATGGAGGAGGTGATGGAGGAGGTGATGAGGAGGAGATGGAGGAGGTGATGGAGGAGGTGATGAGGAGGAGATGGAGGAGGTGATGGAGGAGGTGATGGAGGAGGTGATGAGGAGGTGATGGAGGAGGTGATGGAGGAGGTGATGGAGGAGGTGATGAGGAGCTGATGGAGGAGGTGAGGGAGGAGGTGATGCGGAGGTGATGGAGGAGGTGATGGAGGAGGAGATGGAGGAGGTGATGAGGAGGTGATGGAGGAGGTGATGGAGGAGGTGATGAGGAGCTGATGGAGGAGGTGATGGAGGAGGTGATGGAGGAGGTGATGGAGGAGGTGATGGAGGAGGTGATGAGGAGGTGATGAGGAGGTGATGGAGGAGGTGATGGAGGAGGTGATGAGGAGGTGATGGAGGAGGTGAAGGAGGAGGTGATGGAGGAGGTGATGAGGAGGTGATGGAGGAGGTGATGGAGGAGTTGATGGAGGAGGTGATGGAGGAGGTAATGAGGAGCTGATGGAGGAGGTGATGGAGGAGGTGATGGAGGAGGTGATGAGGAGGTGATGGAGGAGGTGATGAGGAGGTGATGGAGGAGGTGATGAGGAGGTGATGGAGGAGGTGATGGAGGAGGTGATGAGGAGCTGATGAGGAGGAGGTGATGGAGGAGGTGATGAGGAGGTGATGGAGGAGGTGATGGAGGAGGTGATGAGGAGGTGATGGAGGAGGTGATGGAGGAGGTGATGGAGGAGGTGATGAGGAGCTGATGGAGGAGGTGATGGAGGAAGTGATGAGGAGGTGATGGAGGAGGTGATGGAGGAGGTGATGAGGAGGTGGTGATGGAGGAGGTGATGGAGGAGGTGATGGAGGTGGTGATGAGGAGGTGATGGAGGTGGTGATGAGGAGGTGATGGAGGAGGTGATGGAGGAAGTGATGGAGGAGGTGATGGAGGTGGTGATGGAGGAGGTGATGGAGGAGGTGATGGAGGAGGTGAAGGGCTCCTCCTGGTGTTACAGGAATTAAGTAAAAAACAATCTGATGAATTTAGAACCAATATATGCATAACTTGTATCCATCTTTTGGTAAATACTGTTGTGAATCTGAATAAAAGCAGCAAAGCATCAAGATATAGAGTAAATATGGAACCTAGTGTTGCAGGATGGGAAAATTCTTCTGTGTGCACAATAAACTATAACATTGAGTAACATGTTTGGAACAAAAAACAAGATATTTTTTATATAGTTCCATTATTTTGTTATGAATGTGAAGTAACCCAGATTTAAGACCATTTTTTATATAATTTACCACAGACTCCTGTTTTAGATCTGGTGTAGAATAGATATAGTGATAATAATAATAATCAGTTTTATACAGCTCCTTTTGGACTCTTTAAGACACATATGTCATTAACCATTCTCTCCAAACACGGTGGTGATAAACTACTACTGTAGCCACAACTGCCCTGGGGCACACTGACAGAAGCGAGGCAACCAGTCTGTGCCATCAGCCCCTCCCACCACCACCAACCATTCACACACACACCAGACTCATTCAAGGCAATGTGTGTGAATGTGTGTCAGGATGTTTAACAGAAATAAACACCAAAATGAATCTCAATGTCTTTAATATAACACAAACCTTATAAAATGTAACGACTCAAATGTGACCGTGTTCATTTCCGTAGATGACGCTGTGTGTGTTTACTGCCCTCAGTCGTCCTCGTCCTCTTCCTCTGAAGCACCTGCCTCCTCTCTGCTCTCCTCCTGCTCCTCCAGTGCGTCCCTGAGATCCTGCTCCTCCTCCACCGTGGGGTCTGGAACCTCCATGACGTCCGGGCCGGTGAGGTATTCTCTCTGAGGCCGCGGCGGCACCGGGGGACTGTAGCTCTCCGCCGTGTACTTCAGCCCCCAGCCCACGTACACGTTCTCAAACTTCCTGCATCAGAAACACTGGGTCACTTTAAAAAGGGTTAAGAATGTGGTTTGTGGAACGGGCTGAGACAGAATTTCCACAATTTGTCCAAGATTTTCTATTAAAAACAGTGGCTTTTAAAGTAACTTCACTGTTGTTTACTTTGTTGTGAATTTCAAACTAAATATATAATCCAAAATGTGGCTGTAAAAAAAGTAAAAGTTATATGTGTACGTTTATAAGACACAGTATTGTGAGGCACTTTGCTGGAGACTTTACAAAAGGGCATTTGTTCCGGGATAGATGTCAATAATTCCGCTGAGTTGTGTGTAAATAGTGGGCGTGTCTTACTTTCCCGTGGCGTAGGCGTAGGCTCCAGGCCACAGGTTTGACCGAACAAAAGCCAGAGCGTGTTCTGGGGTCAGACGGGACGACATCCTCAGGGTCCAGGGCGGCGTCTGGAACACCTCTACAACACAATCATAGCAGTACTATGTCGGAGCTGTTATCTTTGTATGCTCCGGTCAGATCAGTGCGGTCCGAAAACCAGATGTTGTTGAATGTGCCTAGGTCTCGTCTCAAAACTCGAGGAGACCAAGCCTTTTCTGTTGCTGCCCCCAAACTGTGGAATAGTCTACCTCTGTTCATCAGAGCAGCTCCTTCATTGGAAGTTTTTAACTCTAGTTTAAAGACACATTTTTACACCTTAAAGTGGTAAAACACCAGTTGAGGTTTTACCACTTTACTTTTACATGTATGTGTATGTATTTTATACTGTTTTATTTTTATTTTTATCATTCGTGCCTGTGAAGCACTTTGGGCAGCTGGTGTTGTTGTAAATGGGCTAAGTAAATAAAGTTGACATTGACATTGACATTGACAGTACTGGAATAAACCGGTTTAACACGTAATCAAGAGGAGGATCCATCACCCCTGCTCTGCTCAGCTCTATTCTACCTGCATTTCCATTACACATTTCCATTAAGTTTTTAATGTTTTAATTGCAATAGTTACATAGGACACAAGTTGTTCCAGGTCATCACTTGCAAAGAGTATAGATTTCATTAGTTTTGATAATTTACAGAATTGATTAATGGACATGAACGAATCCTAGCAACCTACTCACAACAAACCAGTATCTAGCAGCAATCTGATCACTCACTTAAGTAACAGGGCCAAGCAGGAACTGAAAAGTCCCTGGTACCGGTTAAACGATGTAGAGTAGAGTAGAACCAAGAAGGGATGGTGGTGATTGGCGATTGGAGAGTGCTACTGGAAGCCAAGGTCAGGAAGGAATTTCCCCGGTACTGGTTTGCTGTGGGTAGGTTGCTATGATACGGTACCAGATACTAAAGAGTAGGCTAATGGAAACACAACCAGGTAGAGCTGAGTAGAGTAAGGCTAGTTGAAAGTGAGGCTTAAATGAATGCGTCTTGTTTCTATGTAATGTTAGCAGCCATTTTAGTTGCCTCTTTCTGAACTTGCATTGAGATTATTTGTTTGTATTTTTTTATATTTATATAAATGCTTAATTATATTTTCCTCTCTTGTTTTGTAAAACCCTCTGAACTGCACACAGAGAAAAGAGTCTCACCTTCGTCCTGGGACAGTGGTGTGAGCAGCGGAGGCCCCAGCTCTGGCTCTGCTTCCTCTGGCTCCTCCTCCTCCTCTCTCTCCTCCCCCTCCTCCTCCTCATTCAGCTCCTTGTTTTTGAGCGTGAGATTCACCCACGTGCAGCGACCCTGCAGCACAGAACACTCTTACACTGTGTATTGAGTTCAGTGGGACAGTGTGTATACATGAGCAACGACACTGGGATTAGTACATGGTTTTAGTTTAGAGGAACCTATGGAAACATGGGAAGAACAAGCAAACTGCACTCAGAAAGGACTGAGAGATCCAACCAGGACTTTCTATCTGCCAGGCGATAGCTCTCCTGTGTTGCTAGAAACCTTTTGCCAAGTATCAGTAGACCAACAGAATTGATGAGTCGTTCACAGATGTCTAATTAAATGTTAGATTTGTCAATAAAGCAGATTAAATAAAGTTTGAAAGTCCTCATTTATAATATCTTTGTGTAAATATTTCATATGATAAATAGTTTTTTGGTTCCTTGTATAGACATCCATCCATCCATTTTCTACCCTTTAATCCATTTCTGAAAGAGAAAAGAGACCAGTAGATGATGCTCCTTATCTTTCTGCTTCAGTGACTTTGCGGCTTATAAACCAGTGTGGTTTATAGTCTGGAAAATACGGTAATTATTATGCTATTTCTAGTCAAGTTTATAATCATCCATACGTTTTATCTGAGATCATCTTGCAGTGTATTGTAAATGTGTTTCTGGTGTACTTTTCATGTTTGTATTTATTTTTAAATGGCAAGTACTTTTAATCTGAAACATGTTGAAGGGCCTAAATGAAGAAACTGGCGGATATTTCTGACCTGCTTCAGAATGTGCTGTGTGTGATGGACCCAGGCCGACAGAGACTCTGCCAGCTTCACGGCCGCGACTCCTTCAAACTCGGGGTTGACCTCGTAGCCGTCCTGGGGCACCTCCTCCTCTGCCTCCGTCCCCTCCTCCTCTCTGAACTGGTAGAACCCCTGTGGACTCACCTGCACAGAGGAAGGAGGTCCAATCACATCTAGACTCATCATGGTCAAAAGATAAAGTCTCGTGGGCTGGTCCTCCCATCCCCTAACCCTGGGAGCCTCTTCAATCTTGGATGAACAGTCTTAGTCCTGGGTCAGCCTCAGTCCTGGATCTATATATCCATTAAAACTCTGCTCTCACCTGAGTCCCAGCGGAGATGCGGGCGATCTGGGCTCTCAGGTAGTTGCTCTCGTTGCCGGGGAAAGGCGGGTAGCTGACGATGGGAGCGTCCAGTCTCCCGGTGAAAAACTTGCGGATGAGTCGTGCGGTTGTGATCTGAGCCGGAGTTACCGTGGGAAGCTTCGTCCAGGGCAGGCCCGGCTCGTTACACACAAAGTACATGTATCTGTTGGTCCCTGTCCCTACCGCCTCCGTGGGAACCACCGGTGGGGGCTTGTAAGTCCACTTTGGAAGGAAGTCTATCTGGAAGGACAAGATCAGTCTTTACTCTAAAGCTACACTGAGAAATGTAATAAAATACAAACTAAAGGTTTGAAATGTCCCCACTGTGGGACGAATAAAGGATCTCTTTTCTCATCGTATTATTAGTATTAGATAGCAATATGGCCTACGTGCAGGACTGTACAAGGACTCTACAATGACTCCATGTTATGACTATGATTTGACTGTCTCTTTGTGACACGTATGTCTTTCGATGTGTGACGTGACAATGACTATATAAACTGTGTACTGCCTTTATTCTGTCTGAGAGGAAGAAACAGAGGAAACCAGTGGAACTTGAGAGAAACTTAAATAAACTTCCAGAGTTTGGCACACCACGATCCGTCTCTGTCTGCTTGAATCCTAACAGATTTGGTGGAGAATGCGCGGCTCCGTGTGTGCCATTCTCTGGATTGTTTTGAGGGAATTTCCTCTGTTTCTTTTTTTCGGCGTGTGGGAGCAACAGCACGTTATCTGGAAGGGGAGAAATCCCAGTGGACGCTGAAAGGGCTCGCTTTTGGATGGGCTTGCTCTTGCTCCCTCACTTTCTCTGTTTTGTGTTTAAATTGAATTTTTTGACGCGGAAAAGATGTTGGTCGACCTCTCGAACAGTCCGGACAAAGAAAATAAGGTAAGCAGACACCTTTTTTAATATGTAAAGTCTGCATAATTGGATACTAGCTAAATTTTGAGCTGTCCCGGAGGTCTGTCCAAATCTCTCTAAATCAAATTTTCTTTGTTTTGTCTTTGTCACGTCTTTGTCATGTCTTATGTTGTAGAAAACAGGTTAGCTGTGTGGGTAACCAGTCCCTATAGGAAAAAGGAACCCCTTGACGTATCGGGGTCCCTGTCCTTTGAAGTAGTCAGGGCAGAGAAAGAGTAATTACAGGGTAGAGGCCCTTTTTAGAGTAATTACCGGGGTAGAGGCCCCTTGAGAAAAAGAGTAATTACAGGGTAGAGGCCCTTTCTTGAGTAATTACCGGGGTAGAGGCCCCTTGAGAAGAGAAAAAGAGTAATTACAGGGTAGAGGCCCTTTTTTGAGTAATTACCGGGGTAGAGGCCCCTTGCTAGCCAGAGAAAAGTGTTGGATCCAAAAGTGTAAAATTAAAAGTAATTATAAAAAGGGAAACGTGTTAAGGAGGCCTTTGTTACAAAAGCGTTGAAATTGACGAATTTCAGGCTGATAAATGACAAAAGTAAAGAATCAACAATATTTCAGTGATAACGGTTTAAATTACATACAGAAAAAGGGAGTTTTTGTTTTTTGGAGTGAACAGAGTTCACCGGAGAATGCAGAGTTTTATCTACAGTTGAGCTATGAGAGCTTTCGTGAGTTATTTACATTTTTTGCCGAGTTTTATCTACAGTTGAGCTATGAGAGGGCTGTATCCAACAGTTGTTTTTGTTTTTTAGAAAGAGATTTTGAGTTTAAATTAGCTACCTCGATAAAATAGAAGCGTAAACGTTAAAGACAAGAGTGCCTTTTGTTACTAGTGTGGAAAGTGATCACTTCTAGACTTGGATGACAAAAGTATAAAGAACAACATAAGTTATATTCGCTTAACAAAGTAATCTTGAAAGTTATTCTTCTGTATCTTTTTGCCTGTGTGTGCACATCTCTATCTTGCTGCCGTTGTCAGGGAAACGGCCCCTCCTTCGCTGCTCTGAATCAGAGCAAAGCTACTGCTTTAGGATTTTGGCTTTTCATAGTAGTTATTCCGTTAAATTTGCGAAATTTGCCATTTGAACATTGTGTTATGACACAGTTAAACGTTTTTAAACACCATTAGTGAATAAGTTTTGAATATTAGTATGTTTTTGAAACCCAAAGATTAGTACAAAAAGCTTTGCTTTTCTTTTAAATCTGCTGCTTATTTTGTGAGTCCATTATTGTATCTCTGATATATTTCATAGCTGTTTGTGAGAATTTTTTTTTTATGTTTTTATTTTAGTTACAAAAGCCGTTTTTCAAACATTTAAATTAGAATCTGAGTTAAAAGTGATTAATGATTGTAGACTTCGTCTAAAAAGAAAGAGGGAATTAGGAATAGAACAGGATAGCTGTAAAAGTATTATTAAGTTAAACTGTGACCCAATTTACAGTCTAAAAGCTGCGAGTTTTGTGAGTTTTGTTTTGTCTATAGCTCTGGCCTTGCAGCTGCTGCTCACTGCAGGGCGAGCAGAGTTTGATAGTGTCTTCCAATTCAAAATGTTTTTAAAAGTTTATTGAGTGCATTTGAAGAATGCAGCAATTATTTTAAATTAGAATATATGCTATAAATGTTCAAGTGTAAAAGGGAAATTCCATAAAGTGATTAATCCAGTTTAGTTAATCTTTTTGCTTTGACTTCATGTTTTCAATTTTTGTTTTAATGTTTTTCAAAATTCATTTTTACAGAGATTTTTCATACAGTTTTAGTTGCGATTTGAGTAATAATAATAATTCATTCTATTTTATGGCGCATTTCAAGAAACCCAAGCAAGCCAAGATTAAAAACATCACACAGTACAGAAGTACAAAATAGAATACATTTTTTAAAGTTTAAAAAGGTTTTTTTTAGATTTGAGTCTTGTTTTTTTATATTAAGAGTTTCTGGTTTTAAAAATGTCATCATTAGTAAGATAATAAGTAATCTTTTATTTACATAGCGCTTGGGAAAACCCAGAGCGCTCCAAAATTGTTTTGACTTCAGGGAGAAAAACAATCTCATTCGCATACTGATATCTATTGTTTTTTTAAATTGGCCGTCTCAAGGATTGTTTTTCAGACTCTGCCTCACTGTACGAGAGGTCACTGCTGGACACTGGACACCAAAGCCCACCCAGCCACAGGTCACAGATCAAAGAGCAAAGGGCAACAATGCCACCTCTACGCCCCTCCCCCCACTACAGAAGTAAGTGGGAGTGAGACCGGGGCCATGAAAGTGGAGGTTTCTGGAGGCAGTGATGGGTGGAGCATCAGGTAGAGACCTGGAGGAGAGTTGAAAGTGTGTCCAGTTGGTTTGCATCACCACAGTGTGACCTTTGAGACCTACAGGTGGTTCGAGGAGTCTGGAGACACAACCCCAAAATTTACATACACACACACACACACATACACACACATACACACATACACACACATTCACATTTACATATAGATACATGAAAAAGTAGAACATGAGAAAAAAGCATTTTAAAAGTTTACTCCAATGTAAACACATTGTCTATCACTTGAATCTTTAGTTGAATCAGTATTTTTTGAGACCAGAAATGTTCATTTGAATTCTATATTGTCATGGACATAATTGATCTGTCCTGACACTTTTGATTTGTTGATTTTGTACTGTGTGAAGTAATTACATTGATTAGAATTAGATCTGATAAAAACACAAATTAGAGAAGTAAACTGCGCTTGCTTTTGTCTGAGGGACAGAAGCAACAGCATGAATAGAAATTGATTAGGATTAGAATCAAAGTGACTTAACCATAGAAAGTAACTATTGCATAACAAGCTGTGTACAGGAACTGTGACACTGCACCATTGACCAGAAGTGCATCGCAAATGACCTGATGTGCTTCAACTGAAAAGACTGTATCTGGAGATCTGATGTGCATCTGGAGACCAGAACCAGAACCATGGCTTGGACCCTACTGATGTCCAAGATGACATCTCTCTATGACCTGACCTGATGACGACTGAGACTCACCCTCAGGGGACCCTGAGGAGCTGAGGACCTGAAGACCTGAGGATCTGAGAGAGAAAACTGGGGAGTGATGTTTATATGAAACATCACTCCCCAAATGTTTTCATTTAAATGTTTAAATGAAAACACAACCGAACTATTCATGGGAATGATAAACTTTGAGAACACATTGTGTTCTACTGTTGACGAATTGTTTAACTCTGTCACCGCCAATGTTATAAATGTTCTGGACATCATCGCTCCTGTGAAGGTTAAAATGATTACAAATAAGCCAAAGGCCCCCTGGACTAAAATGGACTCAGTCATGGTACAGAAGAGAGAGTGCCGTAGGGCCGAGCGGAAGTGGCGAAAATCCAATCTCCAGGTTGATCATGATATCTTCAAAAATGAGTTGTGCAAGTTTAACAGGGTGCTACGTAGAACAAGAGAAATTTATTTTTCTAAAACCATTGATGGCTGCAATAATAATCTACGACTTATGTTTTCAACAGTTAACGGATTAACAAACCCCCCTGTTCAGCTGCCATTCGAATTTGCTTCAGAATCTAAATGTAATGAGTTTGCACAATTTTTCAATGACAAGGTTCAGAGCATCAAAAACGCCATCACCTCCAAGGCAGAAATAACATTACAACAGCCGGTGAGGCTGTTTGAGCTATCGCACTTTGCACCAACAGATAATGAAACTGTCCAAGATGTTGTCTCTAGCCTTAGTTCCTCCACATGTAGCCTGGATGTACTACCCACTAAATTTTTTAAGTCTGTTTTGAGCAGTCTTTTACCTTTGCTCACACAAATAGTGAACATGTCTTTCTCATCTGGAACATTTCCAATGGCCCTGAAAACGGCAGTCATCAGACCCCTCCTAAAAAAGAGGAGTCTAGATGCCACAGTTCTTAAGAATTATCGCCCCATTTCAAATCTGCCGTTTATGGGAAAAATTCTGGAAAAAGTTGCTTACCAACAACTTACAGAATTCTTAGTAACTAATAGTTCGTTTGATGCGCTCCAGTCCGGCTTTAGAGCCAATCACAGCACTGAGACTGCACTAGTGAAGGTTACAAATGACATCCGACTTAACACCGACACAGGAAAAGTCACAGTTTTAGTAATGTTGGATCTGAGTGCTGCGTTCGACACAGTCGACCACGAGATCCTCCTGCAGAGACTAGAGCACTGGGTGGGTGTCACTGGGACTGCCCTAAGTTGGTTTAGGTCTTACCTAGAAGACAGGAAATACTTGGTTCAGATAGGAAACTGTGTCTCAGATCATATGGCTCTGACCTGCGGAGTGCC